CATCATTCATCAGCAGAAATTCAGAGAGAAAAAAATTGTAGTTGTTTCCATGCAAAGAATATACCGTATTTCCCCATGTATAAGCCACCCCTTTTTTCCAAAATTTTCAAGCCCAAAAAGTAGGGGGGTGGCATATACAAAGCAGGTACACTTTTTATACGTGAAAAATGCATAAAATAATAAAGTAGGAATAAACTGGTTTTCCAGCAGTATGCTATACTTTTTTGTAAAAATTGTACGTGATGATACGATTACGAGTGCGAGTACGCGATAGAAATGCATACGCTAGGCATCGGCCTGAATGCTTCGTTCCTACTCTCGCTCCGATGCGTAGATTGCTAGCGTCGCCCGCACCGCTTTCGGCGTCATGACCGAAGTTGTAGATCTAGACGTCGAATTTTGTTTCTTTGTAAATTTTCTTTCTTCATAACTTGTTTCTCTAATAAAATATTTTTTTCAAAACTTCACAGTCCAGAAATTGGGGGGGTGGCTTATACAAAGGGGGTGCTTATACATGGGGAAATACGGTAAACTTTTATCCATCATTCATTTATTTATGTTCTAGGAAGCTGTCAGCATCTTCTCTTTTTGCAAGAAATAACTAATTATGAAAGTTTGAATGTTCTTCCTTTGACACTGAAATGGGCATAAATTGAAGGTCCTAGTTGTCACTTTTAAAGTCCTGCCTGAAGGGCTTATTGGAAGACCATCTTCTCCCAGTTGTACCTACCTGAGCCACCAGAGGCAGGAGATGTTATAGGTCCCTTCTCTTAAGGAGCTCCATCTGGTGGACCAAGAGGGAGGCCCTTCTCTGTGGTGGTTCCCTCCACGTGGAACAAGATTGCAGAAATAAGATTGGCCTCCACTTTGATACTTATGAAAGGCCTTTTCCCAGCTGGGGAAAAGTACCAGGCTGGTTCCACTGCCTCTGAACTACTTCCAGGAAGAACCCGAGGCAGGCGGTGTTTTCCTGCGTCATGATGGGTTCAGATAATTCAGCCTTGTTTGACACCTGAGGACCTCTTGGTTCCACAGGTGAGGATGAAGAAGCCCCAATCTGGGCCATGGCCTTGGTCTTATAAAGGAGGGTCTTGAACAGCGCTGGACGGAAGAGTCCAGGGGAAGGGGGGGGGTTAAGGGGCAAGGTCAAGGGTCATCATCTGAGAACCCTTGTTCCATGTGGTCCAGATGCCCTGCTTCTGGCTGAACGGGTGGGAGCGGTAGCCCCATGTGACCGCCCAGCCTCCCCAGTATACATATACATGTAATGGTTTGGCCAGTGAGCCTCGGGACCCCAGGGGGATAGGGAGCCCATCAAATGCTTGATTGATTATTGTCGTTGTAGGGTGTCGATGGAGTCATCCAGGCCACTGTTGTCCCAAAGATGCTTTTTCAAAAGGCATCTGGACTTTTTTTTTCTTGGAAAAACAAAGATCAGTCGCCTTTTGAAAGAACACCTTTGTCACCATGAGCATTTTTTGGATTTGGATTTGGGGCTTTATTTCTGTAACCTGCCTGGGGTCACGGTGAGTGAGTTGGTCAGCTATATACGTTTTCCTAATAAACAAAATAAAGATTCTCTGTCTGTGCCAGTTCAGTTCCTCCGACTGTCCGTTCAAATTCCTCTCAGGCCAGAAGGACTTGAAATCTGGCACTAAGTTCTGAATCATTGCCAGGTTTGGTGCTATAAAAGAATAAAAATACACCTTGGTTGATAAGAGTGTCATAAACACAGGCACTCTGGGCTTCCCAATTGTCTAATCAGTTGACAAAGAGCCAATGACAGTGAATCCCCATTTGGTGAAACTAGCACCTTTATTTACTTACCAAGGAAACCCCACGTGTCTTCTTCCTAAGTGGATGCAAACCGTATTTGGAATTTCTTTCAAGGTAAGAACATATGTTTCTTTATCTCTTGCAAGGTAAGATTTAAAATCTGCCTGAGCCTGCTTGTCCTTTCTTTTTCTTTCTTTCTTTCTTTCTTTCTTTCTTTCTTTCTTTCTTTCTTTCTTTCTTTCTTTCTTTCTTTTCTTTCTTTCTTTCTTTCTTTCCTCTTTCCTCTCTTTCTCTCATTCTCTCTCTCTCTCTCTCTTTCTCCCTCCCCCCCCACATTCTGCCCCCACTTTCTTTCTCTCTAAATCTCTTTGCAATTATTGTCACTTCCCTGCGTCCCAACTGAGGCTAGACACCAGGTTCTGTATTCTGCATGCTGAGTGGAAAACCTACAGAGCTCAGAACGCAGCATTTGCACAACATTAAATTCAAAGGAAAGCACCGGGGAATTTTAGCAATCATCCTGCTCACTAGATTGTCAAAACAAGCTAGATTAGAGATTATCCACTGGAGTAATTGCCAGGAGCCTAAGAACGTGTCTGTCAAGGTTGGCAACTTTTAAGACATGTGGACTTCGACTCCCAGAGAGCCAGCATTTTATTTTTTCTTAAGAGAAGGGCCTGCTGCAAAGCAAAGGGCCAGCTTCCAATCCTCTTTTTATTTCTCTAGGATGCAGCTGACCATTGTCAGAAAACCCAGTGGTGAAATGGTTGCAACCTAAGAACCCATCCTAACCAGAGAAGATAAAGATAGCTCGGGCTAGGGATACAGGTAGTCCTCGACTTACATTCATTTGTTTAGCAAATATTTGAAACTGCAACAGCACCCAAAAAAGTCACATACAACTGGTCCTCATATTACAACCGTCACATCACCACCAAGGTCAAGTGATCAAAATTTGAGTGCTCGGAAACTAGCATATATTTTACCAAGGATTGCAGCATCCCGGGGTCATGGGATCATTATTTGCAATTTTCCAAGCCATCAACAAGCAGATGAGGGATTTGCTTAACAATCCCCAGATTCACTTAGCAAGTGCAGTGATTTACTTAACAGCAGTGACCCAAAAAGGTTATAAAAGCAGGTGAGACTCGCCTAACCCTCTTACTTAGCAATGAAAATTCTGGGCCCCATTGTGATCAATAGTTGAGGACTACCTATGGGAGAGTTTGTCTCATTTTTATTCCAGGGAGGTGATGACATGTGTGTTATCATGAAGTTTGCTTTATTGAAATGCTCTGGATCACCTTGAAATCCAGCCTCAGTGGTGGGATTCAAATAATTTAACCACCGGTTCTCTGCCCTCATGGTTTCTTCCAACAACCAGTTCACCAAATGGCTCAGAAAGTTAACAACCGTTTCTCCAGAACTGGTGAGAACCGGCTGAATCCCACCATTGCTCTAGCAGTTCCATTAGCCAAGAAAGGATTGTTCAGAAACCAGAGATTCGGGCAGCTGATTTAACTTGGAAAATCTCCTGCTACTAGAATAGACAGAAAGAGCTACAAAATAAGGGAATGTGAGGCAATGTGATTGCTTGGCTTTGCATTAAGTGAAGTTAGAAGCAAAGTTGATGGGTCACATTGTTCCTGAAACAGTTTGTAAAATAGGCTTCACCTGAACTTTTCTTGAAGCCTCTCAACTGAAAATTGACTGTTCACAGAGATTCATGGACACCATTCTAATAAGACACTTTCATTTCAGCTACTCAGAGATCTTAACAAAGAAACTACTATAAAATCCAGAGTTCAAGCAGATCCCAGGTTCAAATTCAACTCCTTTTTATCTACCCTTACATCATGAAGTTCTGCAAGTAGCTTTTTTCTCATATGGAGATGCAAAGGGTGCATCTGCACTGTTAGGGATCTCCCTGGTCTCAGCCCCATTGCTTCTGTCTTGGCCATCTCTTGTCTTCACACACCTCTTCAAAGCATTGCACAGCCCGAAACGGGAGAGCCTGGGACACTGGAAGGTGGTGAGCAAACTCACCAGTTTCCTTCTGATAAATGGTTATTGCTTGATTGGTTGGGTCAACCATATAATAGTTTTCCAAGGAATAATTGCTTCTCCTCCTCCTCCTTTCATTCTCTGTCTCGTTCTTTGCCTCTCTCCTCTCTGTCTCTGTCTCTGTCTCTCTCTCTCTCCCCCTCCTGCCTTCCCCCCCTCCTCCTCCTCCTCCTCCTCTTTCTTCAGTAATTATCTTGTGAGGTCACCTGTTACGTCTGCAAAAAAAAATCAGCTCTCTGTTGACCCACAAAACAGTTTCAATGATTATCAGGAACAGAAAAAGGTTCCCAGCACTCCGTATTTTTGAATCTGTGTCTAATCCAACCTCCAAGCTATTCCTCAGACAACATTGTTCTGCATTTCTGACAGCTTCCCCAGTTCCATTTTGAAAGAACTAAATTGTGGAACTCAACATTTCCCCGAGGGGGCCTCCCTATGGCTTAGAAAAAGCTGGTTAATAGGGTTCACGGTCTTCTGACACTGTAATTAGATTTTGGGTTTATAAATAATACAAATGCTTTTCTATTGCCCTGTGCTTCAAAATATCCAAGATGACCTCCAAAGGACACTGGCAGATGGGTTTCTCATAAAGCCTAATTTTTTTTATGTGGGAGAGGAGGTAGCAGTTAAAACTGTCCCATAGAGATGGGAACCTCAAAATTCCTTCTCCTTAATCCCCCAGCTCTGTTCAATGTCATCATTGCCAACAATACGAAAATGAAAGTGTAAGCTCTAAAACCAGCTTTTCTTTAAAAAGCAAAAGAAATGGTTCGAATGTACTATGTCAGAATAATCTTTCCAAGGAGGAAGAGGAGAAAGGAGGAGGAAGGTTTGCATTACAAAATGGCCAGGATCTTCGTGGACATGCGAAGAGAGAACATAAAAAGAACTTTGCCACTTTGGGCCATAATCTCACCTCCGTCACTGCATCTTCCGGAATCACTCAAGTAGAGCTTGAGTGCAATTGTCCTCTTCTGCCCCCTTCCGTTAGAATTATAGAACAATCCATAATGGTATCTCGGTAATGTTTTTGGTTCAATACTGTCACTTAGTGGAAAATAACCTGTACTATTCTTTTTTAAAAAAAACAAAACACATTTCATCTCACAAGCACTAATGCTTAACATTAAAATAGACACTATAATTTAAAGGCTGTCAAAATAGCTCTCAAGGCAGCAGTTTTAGCCCAGCTTGACATCATCCCAACAGAGAAAGGCACACATGAATTTTTAAAAATCTGTGACTTTTCAGATGAATTCAAGCAATTAATTTTGCCATTTATTCATCCATTTATTAATATTGTGCTGGTGATATCGCAGCACTATTTCATATTCTCCCAGATTAAACTGAACTATGCTGTAAACATGCAAAATCATTTTCACGAAAATCTGTTGTTCTAAATTGACTTAATGATAGAATATAAATTATACATATCTTTAAAATAAATCTGATTTTGTTTCAGAATTCCAGAGAGGAGAAAAATGCTTGTATTTAATGTGGTGAGCTTGCTCTTAAAATTGCATTTGCCTTTATCTAGAGAATTAAAAATGCTTCCACTAGTAATAATTAAATTCATATTTGCATTTCCCAATCTTATTAAACAAAAGTGATATCGATTAAAACACTCTTATGGTACAAGATGAACTCGCAAATATGGCATTGTTCAACCTTGGCAACTTTAAGATGTTTGGATTTCAACTCCCAGAATTCCCCTGATGGGACAAGTCTAGTTTGGCAGATTTCTGTCTGTAGAGATGAGGAACAATAAATAAATAAATAAAGAACAGTTTCCATCCAGAAGTCATGGGTGCTCCATCACTGGAGGTTTTCAAGAAGATCCTGGACATCCATTTATCCAGAATCGTATGGGGTCTCCTGTGGAGCAGGGGTTGGATAAGAAGAACGTGAAGGTCTCTTCCAACTCTGTTATTCTGCATCCTACAAATCTGTTTAGAACAAACACTTCTCTTTGCTTTTCTTGGGTTTTAGAGACTGACAAAAACAGATGAAAATGGTAGCTCAGTCCAAACATAGGAATGTCACAGTTAAAAGACCAAAGAATTTTAGAATTCCTCTCCAAACACCCCTCTCCTGATGAGAGCAGTGGGGTTTCATTCATTCCATGGTGGTGGATAGCAATCTCTTTATTAAATGTTCCCTTTGCTTAACCCCAATGTTGCAAACTTCTACTTTAGAGCAATGGAGCTTGATCTTCAAAAAAAACAACCCCACAAGAATAAAGCTTGATTCTTGCCAGCCGTCCACCAGGAGAATGAGAATTTTTTTGTCCATTTTAGTTGGTCAATGTTAATGTAAAATTGGTGGACTTGTGAATGTTAAGATGGTGGACTTCAACTCCCAAAATTCCCCCAGCCAGCATGCTGGCTGGAGGAATTCTGAGAGTTAAAGTCCACACTTCTTAAGATTCCCCAAATTGGGAAACTCTGTTTAGCTACTGCATTATTTTTCACACACACCATCAAATTCATTCAAGCAAACCATCACACACTGGTGTTCCAATTCTTAGAAGTGTCTTTCTTTCTTTTTTCGTTATCCAGTTACAGTACTTGGTAACCCTGGGCAGTTCAGCCTTGATCTTCTGTTACACTTGGTGTTTGAGGTAGTTGAGCAGCACTAGTGGGATGTCCAGTTGATCCACAGCTTCGGGATGGTTCTCCAGTTTCATAAACCTTCTGACTGCTAGTCTGCATTGAGACATCAAGGATTTGGGCAACGCTGGTCCAGCAGGAAGGAACGGGGAGGAGAGAGAGGCAGTAATCATCATTGCATAGTTAACACTGCTAAAGAGTTCACACCCTGTAATGCCTTCAAGGTCATCATATGAACAGAAATGAAGAACAAAGAACCACACATGCTTTGTGTTTGGGGCCTGTGCCCAGACTGAAATCTAGCTGGTTCTGTTCTGGACATGGATTGAAAT